GTTACTTTGTGAATATTTTTCTTTCGCGGGGGAATTTTCCTCGTTTCACTTTCTTTACCTTCTATTAACTCGTTCACGTCGATACCCTTGCGAGCAGTGTTGATCTCAGAAAAAGCAGATGCCATCGATTCCTGCAGTGAATGCAGTGACAGAGACACGGCAATATCCAGTCTCTTTATCAGCCATCGACCGAAGCAATGCAATGAAGGTTACACTTGCTGCTTCAACTCTTCTGCAGAGATATCCTGCGAAGAGGAGTTTGCAACAAAGGTAACACTGCAAGCATCTGGCATCCGCTGTCAGCCAGCTTACCAACTGAAACTGTGTATTTTTTTCTTCTTCGTGAGACTGTGTATGAGATTGGTCTTTTTTGTTGGTGGTGACGGCTCGACATCGTTCACAGTGGCCTTGACAAGGAGGAGGAGCGAGGCACTGACAACCGCGAGCAGGCGGAGAGCCCGCATTGTATGTATATGTATATGTGTATATTATATATATAATATATAATATATATATTATATATATAATATATATAATATATATATGTATGTTGGAGGCCTGACCTGCAGTACTAAAGGCCGCCCGTTGAATCTTGCCAGGACAAGACAAATAGTATTCTAACTACATGGGGGTGGGGCTTGATTGGAAAACGGAAGTATAACGAATATTTCTTCGGTTTCACGAGCCCTTAGGTGTTCAGGCCGTGGACACGCTGGCCATGCAATCGGCGCAGCAAGTGGCTACAGTGGGATTCTCGCTGTAAATATATCCCGCTTAAGTATAAATTTATTTATACTTTTTATATAATAATATTGCACATGTTGTTCAGGAGGGGCTATATGCGACGGACCTCAATGATTCACTCAGAAAATCGTGTAAACTTAACCTATGTTTTTTATTTGTGCATTGACTTGGTAGTGGTGGTGACGGGAACCCTGCAGCACTCGCCGCGTCGAGCATCACACAACCTCAGTATACTTGAACGAACAGAAGCAGTCCAGCAGTACCCGGTGCTGTAGCAATAGTAACCCCCCTAAACTGCCACCGACTCAAAAAAAAAAAAAATTGGTGTGACGGAATCCTAGAAAACGAGTTTGCCTCTCTTCAAGCTCTAGGCTTCATCTGGGCGCGGCGGCACAAGGGTGTATATGGTGGCGATGGTGAGCAGAGGAGGTAACGAAACTCTTCTCCGAGTTGCTGCACATTCTTGTGCAACTACTGCGGTAACAACACAAGCGGAAGTATGCAGTCCCCCTGCTGAAACATGTGCACACAGTGGAAACAATTTTCATACAAAACAAAAAAAAATAAATATATAATAAATAAATAAATATATAAATATATAGATAAATTAAATATATATATATATATATATATATATATATATATATATATATATATATATATATATATATA